CCCAAGTCCCACATCGACTAGAGATTAGGCAATTGAATAGTATATAAGTGGAAAACAACCCTCACCTTATAAGCCGGTTTTGTAGGGTTGAGTTAGGCTTAAATCCACTATTCTAACATGTTATCAGAGCCATTTAGATCCACTTTAAAAATGGGCCACCCACCATTGATGCATGCCTCATAGGCATGAGGGGGTGTATTGGGAAAAACCCAAGTCCCGCCAATCCTAGATCATTAAAAAGGGCCACCCACCATTTATCCACGTACCAAGCCCAATAGTGCTGGACGTGAGGGGATGTATTGGGAAAAACCCAAGTCCCACATCGACTAGAGATTAGGCAATTGAATAGTATATAAGTGGAAAGCAACCCTCACCTTACAAGCCGGTTTTGTAGGGTTGAGTTAGGCTTAATCCACTATTCTAACATGGTATCAGAGCCATTTAGATCCACTTTAAAAATGGGCCACCCACCATTGATGCATGCCTCATAGGCATGAGGGGGTGTATTGGGAAAAACCCAAGTCCCGCCAATCCTAGATCATTAAAAAGGGTCACCCACCATTTATCCACGTACCAAGCCCAATAATACTGGACGTGAGGGGGTATATTGGGAAAAACCCAAGTCCCACCAATCCTAGATCATTAAAAAGGGTCACCCACCATTTATCCACGTATCAAGCCCAATAATACTGGACGTGAGGGGGTATATTGGGAAAAACCCAAGTCCCACATCGACTAGAGATTAGGCAATTGAATAATATATAAGTGGAAAGCAACCCTCACCTTACAAACCGGTTTTGTAGGGTTGAGTTAGGCTTAATCCACTATTCTAACACATAAAGTGCATAGATTTAATGTTAATTATATAAAACTAAAATTTATAAAAGTTATATATGCAAAAAAATACTATATTTAAATATATATAAATTTCATTAAAAAATTTTATAAATAAATAATTTTAAAATTATAAATTATATTTTAAATTTATGATAGATAATTTATATTGTGACATAAAATTATTTTTAATTATTGATCATTTATTTTTAAATATTAAAATTTAATTTATGAATAAATATCGTAAATATAAGTTGAAATAGACAAGAAACTAAAATATAATTAAAAATCTCTCATTGAAAAGAAATCCCTGAAAATAATCCAACGGTTAGATCAAATTATTTTCAAATTTAATTTATGAATAAATATGATAAATTTAATTTGAATTAATGAAACAAAATATTAAATTATTTTTAAATTTGCAGACTTGATTTATCATTAAAAACTTTAAATTTAATGGTTAAATCGTTAAAATTTGATGTAAAATGTGAGTTATTGAATGAAGTAAATTTAGGTATACTTACTCTTAAGTAAATAGATCCCCTCCTTTATATATATATATATATATATGGAGCGTATCAAGTGAGAAGTTTTTATTGTGAGAAGGTAAGAAGGTGGAAATATAACCCTTAGATTAATCAAGTGAGAGAAAATTTGGGATTTAATCAAGTGAAAGAAAATTAATCTATTCAAGTGAGAGAAAATATAATTGCATGTCTATTCAAGTGTTGAATTGAAAGTGTAAAGATCTAGTGAATTGTTACACAAATGGTGAAAATTAAAATTTTATTATCCAAATTAAGAATTTAAAATTTAAGAACTTTTAAAAAATTTTAACCAAACAAAGAAATTTTTTTTTTAGTTCATAAACATGATTTACACAATGTTTCAAAGTTGACCCTCAAAAACTAATATTGCTGGTGGGATATGACATGACTTCTACTAATGAAACTTTATTTTAACAGCAACAATAATCAACCTAAGAGTATCAAGTTGGCTCTAAACAAAAAATTTAGCAAATGAAGAAGATTTTAAATCAAAATATTTTAAATTTTATGAATTTCAAATCTTGTCCAAACCCCAAAAGATTTACGAAACCTCTCAATTGAATTATCTGAAGAACATTTCTTAATGCAATAATGTCATGATAGTTTGTTATATACATTAATATAAATGTTCTTACATAAAGTAATTGATTGATTATTTTTAAGAAATTTAAAATAAAGTAAAAGTTAATTTATGTTTATTTATAATTAAAAAACTTATTTTAAAAGAGAAATAATAAACAACTAGTGTTATGAAAAGTCATTTAAATTTGGTTCTTATTTTAATCGAGTCTTTAGATAAAAAAATATATATATAGTTTAAAAGGAATGAGACATCATTAAAGATTGTCTGTCAAATTTTTTAATAAAAATTAATTATTAATAAAGTCAGTAGATATTTTATAATAATAATAATATAACTATAAAGAAGTACTCTTTTCAATTTTTGATTATTTATAAAAGCATAAACAAATGAATGAAAAACTAAAAAAAAAAAAAAAGCGATTATTTTAAAAACATGATTCTTTTACGGAAGAGAGAGAGTGAGAAACTTATAATGCTTTAAACTTATCCAATTTACTAGAATTAAATCTTCCCATTCTATTCCTCTTCGAATTTGAGACAACTTTCACCAGAAATTGGATAAGTTTTAATTAATAAGTAAAATGTTAATGTCTTTAAAAACACTTATATATGAAGAAAATAAATTTAATTAAAAAGTAAGCATTTATTGTATTAAAAATATAGTAGCCATTTAACACTTATTTTTTTGAAAAGTATGCTTCCCATTTTATTTATATGTTAATTTTACTTATCTTATTGATTAATTTGTCCGTAATTTATTATTATTCACATCTCTCTTTCCATTTCTTAATAAATATGTAAAATATTTAAAATTAGGTTAAGATAAAAGTATACTTCCTATGTTCTCTATTACAAACAAAAAAAATATACATTTTTTTTCTTAAATATATATAAGCAAATTTAATTATTTTTGTATCATTTAATGATATTTTCTCTAAAATATTTATTTTTTAATGCATGAATTTTTATTACACTACTTCTTTTAACATTTATAATAAGAATAATTTAGGAAGAATCTTATAGAAATAGTAAAATTTAATGTAAATAACAACTTTCTTAATATACGTAAAATTAATTATTTTGTTTATAATAAAGAACAAAAATGAGTAATTGAAAAAATAATAATTAGTGTTGTCTTCAACTTTTTAAATGATAGATAAATAAAATTCTGAAAATTTAAAATTTAAAATAAAAATGGAAGAGTAGTAATAGAATATATTTAATATTTCTTTAACTAATATATTTGAAACACTCGTTAAAGAGATGACCCTAAAATTTATATATTAACTATTCAGTTCTCATTAATATATTGATCTATCTTTTGATAGAGTTCTTTTAATTAGTATATATACTTAGAGCCCTTTGATTCAAAATAAATAAAAAGCCCGTTGGTTCATTTTTCATGAACAAATAATTTTATAAAAAAAAACCACTTATAAAAACTTTGTTTAGAAAAAAATATCAAAAGATAATATTTTAAATGCATTTTAAAGTCTTTTAACAAAAAAATTTATGGTTTTGGTTCAAGATTTTGAAAATATATTATTATTTCGCTAACTTATTAAAAAAAAGTTGTTACAATAATAATATACAAATATAGTTTATATTTTTATAAAGATTAAGAATATTTTTTATATATTTATAAAATTATTTGTTTCAAAGTTTAAGCACACGGATTCTTAATGTCTCAAATTTGAGTTTTAGATTAGATAAAAACAAAAAACAATATTGATAAGGACAATTTTAATATAATCCAAGTTTCAAGGGGTACTAATTTCGATGAAATAGTAAGATACTCTCACTAATATTATGGGAAGAAAAAAAAGTATGAATTTTTTTAAAAAATTGAATAGTATTAAATACTCGAACCTAAAGGTCTCGATTGAAATTATATTGGTTGGTGAAAGTGTAATTACGAGAGAAAGAAAATGTTTCCTTATTGTGTGAGATGTATATGCAAATGGAATTGAATTCTAATGGTACGTAGAATAGATGGATTGGAAAGTAAAGCCTGGTATGGCATTAGAACAAAAGAACTAATTATTAATTAATTGCATAGGCAGTGGTAGGGACACTGTTTTAATCAATGAGCACCAATGAGTATTAAAACTATCTTCTCTTTTGGCTATATTTGCTTTCACATGCATCGTTACTGAGCTGATCCATGACAGCAATCATGGCTTTAGAAAATTGCTTTGGTAGCGACGTATTGGTGAAATTCAGTGACCCCATAGCTGATATTTATGACATTTAATTAGTACTACACACAGCTATGCCACAACTAAGATTATAGAACCTGGTACGTAAGTAATACTATTGTCTAGCCTTTAACCTAGCTACTGTACCAACAAACTTTCTGATTCTATTAGAATGTTAGGAGAGAAGTGTAGGAAACAGGTGCATTAGTACTAATGTTGTTGCAGATTCAAAACTCTTCTTCAATTATATGTTGCACATTAATTTTGGCCATAGATAAAAGAGAACACTGTGACTGTGAGTACTCCCAATTCTGGTGCACTTACAACTGTGTTAGTGATCATAATATTATAAGTACAAATGGTACTTTTCCTTGAAAATAAATCTATGGCCTCAATTAATATAACAGACTTTGTTTTATTAGTTATTGAATTAAACATTAGACTATTCTCATTCGGAATAGAACATATGTATATATACTGATGATGATGATGATGGATGTGTGAAGGTCCTGGAGCTGGATGCATGAGTTGATGATGTGTAGTGGTTACACCCTCTGGTTGTTGCACATGTGCATGATTTTTTTTTTCTTATATATATAAGCATACATTTATACTCAAATATAAAAGATAGATATAAGTTTTTTTTAAGTATATATTTTAAACTCAAAAGTTTTTCCTATACCTTAGTCTATGGCGTCATTCTCATTCTTTCGATCTCCCTAAATTTTATGCAACAAAAATAACACTCAAATACAATGATAGACCCGAACGTGACACATCAAAGGGAAGCAAAAGTAATTGCTAAACGGAAATTGTAGTAAAGAATCCAACATTTTTGTTAAAAGTAGATTGCACTATCTGGCTGAAATAATGTTATTGATTTTGGATGAACATAAGGATTGGTACGTGAGAGGGAAAAAGAAAAAGAAAAAAGAGAGAGAGAAACATAGAAGAAACCCTGGATTTATAAATCTAGCTAGCTAGATGCTTAGTTAGGCTTTCCATATATAGATGGAATTTATATAAATATAACACTCCCTAAGCCCTCGACCTTTTTCATCTTACTGCAATAAAGAAAACCCCTTGATTGATCAATCATTTTCAAGTCCCAGAAAGGAAGCCATCCTCTTAAGCTCCACATCCAAAAGGGTTTCCAGAGAGTCAAATTTCTCTGGCAAGAGATGGTGACAATGATCAGAAGGTGGTGATGAGCTAGGACTGTTGGTTAAGCCTACATTGTTAATGTTGTTATGGTCTTCTTCTTCCATTTGTGGCAGCACCTTTGAGTTGGAATCATCACCAATATTCAACAAATGGCTTTGATCAATATCAATGAGGAAATCAGTAAAAGAAGCTTCATCACTACTACCCTCTACTTTATTTGAGGGAGTACAATTCTCACACACTCCATTATCCAACATTTTACTATGTTGAACTGCCTTAACTCTCCTAGGACGTGGAGCTTCGGGTGCCACGTGCACTTGTTTGGTCTCTTCTTCATGATGTTTGCGCTGAAGAGATGAAACATATGATGATGTTGGCTGCTTCTGTAACTTCTTTGACAGATTAGTGTTCCAATAGTTCTTGATTTCATTGTCTGTTCGTCCAGGTAGCCTCTTTGCTATCAATGCCCATCTATATAAACATCATAAATCATACATAATCTTAACTGTTGACCACAAGTCATACATACTATGGTTTATACATAGTAATGCTTCCAATTAAAATTTCTAAAATACTTTATATACACTTATTTTTATATCACACCTGTCTCTTTTTTTTTTTTTTTTTAACCATTAGGACTGACCTACTAATTGAGGGGTTAGGATAAATACATAAAGATTAAGTTTGATTACTTCTATCGTAATTTTTTTTTTTACTAAAAGATCAAAGACACATCTCTTCTCATCTTAATTACTCTCTCTCACAGGAAGTCTTTTGAACTAGGATAATTTGTTGAGTAGAATATTATATATGTAAAAGTTGAAAAGTGAAATGAAGACATAAAAATTATTACCTGTTACCAAGAAGAGGATGAAGTCTTATAATCAAATCCTCTTCATCCACGGAGATGTCACCTCTTTTTATACCAGGCTTGAGATAATTCAACCATCTTTGTCTGCAACTTTTTCCACATCGCTTTAAACCTAGAGACATTAATTATTGTACACAAACAAAAAAGCCAAAGCCTAGTTAAGAAACAATAATAATGAAACTGAAATGGTATAGAAATGAAGGAAAAGGGAACACGCTCCAATACAAAAAAGAATGAAGGAAATTCATTCACCAAGAAATTTCCACCCACTCAACTCAAGTGCCTCCTAGACTCTTGTACTTACACTAAATTAATGTGTGTATACATATGAGTGGGACATGAATTAATGCATGTAATTATAATAGAGAAAATGAAAATATTTTAAACCTGCATTTTGTGCAACCTTCTGCCATTTGCCTTCTCCATGAATGGCAACATATTTGGAGAGGGTTTGATCTTCTTCACGAGACCATGCACCTTTGTTTATCTCTTTGGGACAGCAGGGACGTCTACCCATTGATCTTCTTTACTAATGCTTCTTCAATTCTGATATATATCGTACTCAAATTAACACCTAACTAGTTCAGTGCCACTGCCACTGGCACGCACAAAATATGGTTCTGTATTGTTACAAATGTCATCGGTATCTTAGGAAATGTTGTACTTTCATTCCGTATCTATTCAAATTTTATAAATATATATATATATATATATATATATATATATATGTATAAATATTTATATTTTATAATTTAAATT